AAATAGTCATCTCTCGGAGGAATCAGTCCAGTCATCACCCAAAGACGATTGTAGATACTAACAATCGAAACGTCGTGAACTAACGTGGCTTGGAATCTCTCATTGTTATTTTCATTTTAATTCTTTATTTTTATTTTTTGTTCAATCGTTCTAATTTTACTTGTATTTTATTTCACTATTATTTCATTTCAGGTTATTTTTGCTTAATATAATTGTTATTTTCAGCTATTCATTTTTATTTCCTCTTTTTTAGTTATTTCAGGGAATTTAAATCATTTTATATTTTAGACAATGGAAGTCCGAACTAATGAAATTCATCATGAAACATTGTCAATCACCTTCAAACAAACGCTAATCTAACCTAACCTAACATAACCTAAAATAAACTAACCTACCCTACCAACAAAGTAGCTAAATTTTGAGATATTTTTCACAAAGAATTTTTTTATCTTACATAATTTTTTTTAATAAAAAGTTTCCTATGTTACTTCTAATACCTCCAAGAACATGTGTACAAAATTTCATGATGATCGGTTGAGTAGTTTCCGAACTAATGAACTAATGAAACTAATGAAATGCTCCACGAAACGATTTCAACCACCTTCAATGTCGTTGCTGTTATCTACTACATATTTTCGTTAGTGCGGTGACGTTTTCATTATACTTAGTGACTTTCATTATCGACATACCTAATATTTGAAACAATGAAAACGAATTTAGTTTTTTTGTTTATTGTGATATTGTTTCGAGATGCAGTTGGTGAAAATTTAATTCATATGTATTTTGATTACTTTGAAGACATTTATTTCCATACAAACTCATCTGGAATATCGGAAAATTGTAGCAAAATCTTCAAAGACGGAATTTTCTCAGATGATATACGTGAGTATTCGATTACGTGAAAACTATTTCTGAAGTGAATGAGGTTATTTATGAAAATATCCAAAATACTTATTTTAAAAAGTAATAAATATAACGTTTCTATGTTTCATTAAAATTTTGGTGCGTGTTATAAATGTATAATGGGTGTGTTCTCTGATATTCGGGGATTAAGTATTCTACCATAGATGGCGTATAAATCTGTCTGTGTGACTGTTTGTCTGTTTTCCGTTAACCAGCTGTCGACCCCTACGAATGACAACTCTCAAAAGTAGAAACTAACGAGGTCTTACTGTTTCAACGTGAGATGCGTAACACGGGTTGGACGATAGGAAATTAAAATCGATCGCCCGGGCTTTGCGGTTTGAACCACCGGTTCACACAGCGGTCGATTGAGTGAGTGATCAAACCACCCACGCCAACCTGACCCGCTACCGTCCTAAATAAACATTTTTCACTTAGAGCAAACATTATTGAGGTTTGCGTTTTGTTTCAGTCTATGATGCTAGTGCTAAGCTTCCCTCAGGAATATATCAAGGAGACTATTTTGATCTGGGGAATTTTGACGAATGTTACAACTATGTAAAAAATACATCTGAAGGAACTCCCGTTTTTGGAAAATATTGTTTAGGTCAAATGAACACAGAAGTAATATAAGTAACATTGATTGATACAATTTTTGGATTTTTCGGTTTATAATTTGTTTTCAGATGATACACATAGATGTTAGTGGAAAAATTGAAAATATTAGTCTTCATAGTGGTTTCTGTTTGAATAGCTACTGTTCTTTGGACGACTTCTCTAAAATATTCTACTTACACAATTTCACTGAAGATAAATGCCATTCCAGGCAAACAGAAAGTTCAATTTTTCGTGAAAATGTCATCACGTAAGTATTCTGGAAAAACTGAAGCATTTTTAGACTAATATGATACAGGAATACTTTCCAAAAACGTACATTTTTAAACAAACAACACTATTTGACATAAAAATGTCACTTCCCACTGCAATTTGATTAAAAAAATGCTATTTTCAAACAAATTATTTATAATAAATGTAATACTAATTGAAACTCGATTTCATGTTATAATTTTTTCAGTAATCAACTTCCCCCTTGCGTGAACCCACTTCTGTCTTTTTTGATGAAAGGAGTTTATCATACATCCAAAAAGGGCAGAAAAATTTCCCTAAATATCTATACCTCGGCGACTTTACTATCAATGACATTGAATGACATATTATTGGAATGCTTCAATATCTCAAGCTATCATCTGTTCGGTTCCCGGGAACAAATAATATCAACAGAAAATTCCTTTCCTTACTGTCACTAGCACTTAAAATAATGCAGCCGAGAAAAATACGATTTTCTTTTATGTGTTGTTCACCTTCAAATGTTTACCATTCACTTGGTCCAGGTTGAAAACCAAAATGAGAGACTAGGAAAAATTTCCAATAGATGTTTAAGGCCCACATTCTGTCTTAAAAAAAAAAACGTTGTTGATTCATTTCACTTCCGAGTGACACGCCAGAACATCTTACGGCGTATTTCACAGTGGGGCTATATTATAATCCATATCCTTCGTATTTTGTTCATACGATGAAGGCTTGCAAAACATAATTATGTCAAATAGTCTTTTATAATAAAGGTCAATACAGCAAAATCATTATATATTATTTCTTTGACGCTTATAATTAATGATCTGTTGCAGAATCGTTATCATAGGAACTTCTACAGCAGTAGTGCTTCTGTCAACTTTGTATGATATGGTGTTATCATACAAAGGAATAGGTAATTATTTAAATATTTAATGAACTCTACATGAAAGTACGAAGTGTGGCTAGAAATTAACAAGAAATGTCTGTTTATGGAACAAATTTTACCTTATCCACTTCAATATACTTCCCTTCGTTATCCCTGAACTCTTCCATACATTTTTTTACTGTCCAAAACAAAGTTTTGATTCGTTTTCTGAGAACAAATTTATAGACTCTTTGATATTTCCTTAAAAGTTTCCACAGTAATAAATCTGGTTTATTTCAATGCTTCCTTCAGTTTCGAAAACTTGAACCAGATATGGTGAATAGGGTGGATGTTCCAACTCAGGGTTCCAATGCTTGACCAGAATAACTTAAGAATGCGTGCATCCATGGCGACTTGTTCTTCTACAAGTATTTTTAATTTTTTTTAGCCGTTAACAGGGAATTTCGAGGATGCCGACAAAAAACAAACTCATAAACTTGAATTTTTCGTTTGGACATTCGAGATTTCTTCCCTCTTGTTGGATATGGACTCTTCCAGTGCATTGATTGGTGTTTAGTTTCTGTTCGTCACATTTCATTTCTTTTTCCAACAGTTTAGGATTTTCCTCAAAAGAACAGCACAAATTTCCATTCATAAGAAATTTAGACACCATTTTGATACCATTGTGATATTGAAATATTCATATCATATTTGTACGGTGATCTTGATGGATATGAATACCTGTTTTCTCGATTTTTTCGTTCATTTTCGAAGTTGTAGGACGGTCCTGAGCGTGGATAATCTTCGATAACTTCTCTTCTTTCTTTGAAACTTTTATATATCTGAAACTCCGTGTACGTAACATACATCTACTCCTATACACTTTTTGTTAGGAAGAATATCACATTGACAACTTTTTGAGGGCTGTGGCCAAAAACTAAGCAAACCAGTGCCATCCAACTAGCCGGAATGTGAGGGGGGAAGTTAGGCGACTTGGCAATATGGCGATTGACTTTTAGGCTCGCATTGTTTGTCCTAAGGAAAGCCCGTCACGTTATTTACTAACCACGCCTCGTTTTTTCTTTTCGATGATAAAGAGGTGTGATTTTCAGAGACGAAAAGACAACCAATGGTAATTTTTTCGGCCTTGGAAAATACCAAAAAACATTTCGCAACTTCAAACAGCTCAAATCAAATACTGTGTATCCATGGAATAAAAACCATAAGTATATTCTGGATAATATTCTTTCACGAGCATGCAATTTGGCAGAATGCTCCTCTCAGTAATCAATATGATTTACCAAAAGTAAGTTCAAAAAGATATACGTGTAGTTCACCTCAATTTAGAACTATTAATAGATTATTTTACTCCCTGTAAAATTCGAAATATTTAATATATTTTAAGGAACAGTTCATTTGGAGATTTTCACTGAACAATATTACAAAAACTCAACACGTGTTTCGTTATTCAATAGCTTCTTCAGGTCTTCACTAACTTGAATCAGTTCAGTGAAAACCTCGCAATGAATTGTTTCTTGAATACGTTATGGATTTTCATCAAGTATTGGCCGAATCCGTCACATATCTTAAAAAATATATGAAAAATTGTATAAGTTAGTACACTTAGTACCACTTAGTACGACTACATCTATCAATTCATTAAAAAATATATCACTCGATATCTCTGATTTTATCAGTGGTACAATAAAATGAGTCTCCTACTTTCTTGGTTAATAGTCTAATGATCTAAATGACTTATATCTAAGAAAGTGTTTCGTATTTGATTGAATTCTTCTTCTGGGCTCCGTAACAATGAATTTTATGAAACATACCTGCCACAAACGCTATACCTGTTGTGGTTTTTAATGTTTTAGAAAGTAATGATGAAATCAATCAGACGTGTAATATACAGGGTCATTGATATGTATGGAAACGGTCGATTATTTCCTAAAGTAAGATAGCTAGCGAAAAATGTTTGGATACAAAAGTTTTAGGGCTTTTCAATATCTATCACACCAAATAATAACTAGGTATGTATGATCAGTCAAACTGTCTTGAACAAATGAAGTTGCTTTTTCTTTGATAGACCACCCTATATATTATTCCAGATTTCAATTCTGTCAAAATTTTGAATGAAATTGATAAAGCACACCCTTGCCTAAATTCAACCGTTTTGTAGATACCGACTTTTGAAAATAACTTTTTAATGAATTATCCAAAAATGTTTCAAGTCCATTAAGTTCATAGTCTGAATTTCACTAGTTCGGACTTCCATTGTCTGATATATAAAATGATTTGAAATCCCCAAAACAACTGAAAAAGAAGAATTAAAAATAAATAGCTGAAAATAACAATTATATTAAGCAAAAATAACCTGAAATGAAATAATAGTGAAATAAAATACAAGTAAAATTAAAACGATTGAACAAAAAATAAAGAAATACAAATGAATATAAAAAAATTTAAGAGATTCCAAGCCACGTTAGTTCACGACGTTTCGATTATTAGTATCTACAATCGTCTTCGGGTGATGACTGGACTGATTCCTCTGAGAGATGACTATTTATGGGTCGTTCGAGTACTTTCACTTATCCTCACTTTCCGTTTTTCCGCTTCACTGGTTCAGTGGGAGATGACCGTTTGGCGGGAGTTGGCCATTTTTCACTTGATGATGGGTTTCCATATGTTACGTATCTCTACGCTAGCTTGGCTACGTTCACGAGCCACGTAACCCTTAATTTGAGCCCAGATTAATTCTATCGGGCTATTGTATCCACCACATGCTGGCGATATCTGTCACGATGCTGTTTAATGACACTCATAAGCTCGGCCTTAACTATGTCCTTGGAAAATGGAATTGATTTTTTGTCCTAACCAACTCTGCATGTCTGCTTTTCTGGCGTTATCCATTACTATTACCGAATTTGGCTCGACTCGAAAAGGGATTCAAACTATCCTTCAAAGCGTTGGGCGTCTTTTGGATAAAAAATTAGTGCACTATAGTCTAAAAAGCCACTCTCGCTACCTATATGGGCGACAATTAGTCGTTGCCCTTTACCCGTTGGTCCGCGTAACCCTGTTGATAAACCATCCACAAATGTGAGTTCTTTCACTTATCCCCACTTTCCGTTTTTCCGCTTCACTGGTTCAGTGGGAGATGACCGTTTGGCCATTTTTCGCTTGATGATGGGTTTCCATATGTTGCGTATTTCTACGCTAGCTTGGCTGAATATTTTGTTGGACAGCATGTATGCGGCTTCCTTGAATTTTCTCCTAAACCAATATTCCTCTCTGTGTATGCTTTCAGCTTGGGACCACTCGATGTTGTGTTGATGGGTCCAAATATGGTCTGCTAATCCTGATTTGCTGATTTCCCCTCGCTGTGTGTGTTTCTTGTGCTTGGCAATGCGAACATTCAATGGCCTCTTAGTTTCACCAATATAGGATTTTCTGCACTCGCAGGGTATCCGGTAAATGCAAGTTCATAGTCTATCAAGTTTCCTTTTGAAAGTTTTCAGCTCCATAGCAACGACGTGTCGTTTTTTTGTCTATACTATAACAATTTTCAATTGAAGGTGATTCATTAGCAAAGTCACTATTGAAGTGATCAACGGGTAATCCTCTTACCAACTCTGCAGAGGCGTACCAAAATAATATTTTTATTTATTTAAACACATAGGTAATTACGTAAAAAATGTTATAGTAGGTGGCGCTACCTGGTGTCAATGGTAAAACTGACTACATTTTCTTATTATGCCTAATACAGTACTTCAAAAAATTTACAAAATAATTATTATGTTCCATTTATATAGAAAGAGAACTACAAATCAAAGAAATAATTACCTATGTTATGCTTATGAAGTTTCAGAATCCATTGACACGTCTGAAGAGAAATCCGCAATTACACTTAAATCTATGATTGTTTGGTCGAAAACATTGTCTACCATCCCGTCCAATCTCCACATTTTCTCTTCTTCTTTGATCACATGGGCTACAGCATTAGCCCAATCTTCTTTCCGTATCCGTTCCATTGCGAGTTCTAATAAACGTTGGACATTAGAAATTTCATATGTCACGTTTTCACGAGCTACGTAACCCTTGATTTGAGCCCAGAGTAATTCTATCGGGCTACTGTATCCACCACATGTTGGCGATATCTGTCACGATGCTGTTTAATGACAATCATAAGCTCGGCCTTAACCATGTCCTCGGAAAATGGAATGGATTTTTTGTCCTAACCAACTCTGCATGTCTGCTTTATTTGACTGTATTGTGTTACATTTTTTATACATTTATATACTATTTATCCCATTGACGTATGCGAATACTTTTTATGTATGCATTGCACGAATACATTCTATTCTATTCTATATCTTTTCTTTCTATTAAGACAGATTTACGGGATCGTTTGGCATATATGAATTTCAAATCCCATTTCTGACCCATTTCTGATTCAACCGAATCAGAAACATTGCAGCGTTTTCATGAAACTGGAGGTATCAAAGATCGACCAAAAAATGGAAGACCAGTAGTAAGCGTTACAAATGAAGAAAATTCTTCGAATGTCATGTTAGATGTGGTTGAAAATCCATTAAGTTCGACACAACAGAGGGCTTTGAATCATAACATGAGTCGATATTCCATATGAAAAATTAGCAAACTGCAAAAATTCCATCCATATAAAATTCACTTGAAACAAGCATTGAACGAAGACGATTTTTATTGTACAATCGACATCTGTTATTATGGATAAATTAAATGAAAATGTCAACTTTGTCAACCACATAATGTTTTCTGACGAATCTACATTATGTTTAAACGCGAATTTGAATCGACACAACTATAGATATTGGTCATACCAAAATCGACATTGAATGGAGGAAGTTCACATTCAACGGCCACAAAAACTAAATGTCTGGTCTGGCGTTATTGGTGGACACATCATACGACTCTATTTTGTGAACGGACATTTGACGCTAAACAACATTTATTACTTTTACAGCAGCATATAATTCCAGAGCTTAGACGATTATTCTCGAATAATAACAATCCCAATCTGCCGGTAGAACGAATATGGTTTCAATAAGATGTGGCTCTTCCACATTTTGGACGTGTGGTACGGGCATATCTAGATAAAAATTTTCTTGATAAATGGATTAGACGCAGGGGAGCAATTGAATACCCAGCTAGGTCTCCAGTTATTACCCCACCTGACTTTTTCTATGAGATCACATGAGAAATTTAGGCATCAAATTTCCACTATTCCTCCTCCCATGATTTTAGATTCACTACAAAATTTCGTTCAGCGAGTTCATAACTGCCAGGAGGTAAATGATAAACATTTTGAGCACCTTATTAAATAGAATTCCAAAGAAAATATTTGTTGTTTATTTAAACTTGTTTTTTCTTTTTTTCTCCTGGCATAACTAATGTTTTCATAAAATTTTAAATATCCTGACATTCGTTGAATAAATACATTTTATCGTTTCATAAATTTTTATCGACCCTGAACAATTATGCTTTTTTTATTATCGGTTAAAAATGTTAAATAAATTGTAATCTTATCCACATACTCCACCTTGTGTGTAGAATTTCGATTAGAATTGAAATATGGAATAATATATAGGATGTTCCATTGAAGGAAAAGCAACTTTATTTCTTCAAGACTGATTCTGTGTACTCAATTTTCATTTCTGTTTAAAAATCTGTTTGAAATCTGTTTTTCCGTTAATCAGCTGTCGCCTTCATACGAAGGACAACTCTCAGAAGTTGTCATAGATTTTAATAAACCCTAAAACTTTTGTATCTCAACCTCAATCGCTAGCTATCTTACTTTAAGAGATAATCTTCTGTTTCCATACATATCAGCGACCCTGTATATATAAGAAATAAAAAACACTGTGGCAAATAAAATATTCAGGACTAACACAATGACACACAAATGAATAGCTTTGTCTGTGATTTTTATGGAGTGGTGCCAGTTTTCATTGCTGTAAGAAAAAATTAGAATAAAAAAAGGAAATTATTTCGATTATTAAATGATTAAGTAGAAGTTTGCAGTATTGCTCTCTTTCATGACCAACAAGGACTGTGGGGTTCTTGATATTGAGTTTTAAGATTTTCCCATGCGTTATGAAACTGTGTTTTTAGGTAACGCCCGGCTTGGCCAGTATCGGATTTTGGACAGTTTCCGCTGTTCAATCTGTGAACTTTGTTAGATTATGTATCTAGCGGTTTTTTAGTTTTCTGTTAAGAAAAAAACAACAACGATATTCATATTCGAAAAGGCCACTTCAATTTGTTTGTCACTAAGTAACAGGTCAAGTTTTTTAGATGGATTTTCCACAAATGGAAACACAAAATATAATATTCCATGTGTAACAGTTGGGCTGAAAAGTTCGTAGGCTAACATAGAAAAGAAATTGATAAAATTTGATTTTGTTGTTCAATATAGTTGATTTCAAGGACGATACAACTGTCATACAATTTTTCGTTAGTATTATTGTAGTTCAATTTGTGTTTAGCCTTTTTTCTTTGGCCCAATTCATTCAATTTTGACATCGTTTTCATTGACTTCTGGAACGGTGCATTCCCTTGATGAAACATCATTTTCTTCAAATGGGGCCGTTTTGGCGATTTCATCCTTCAAACACTCCAGTAATGCTATGTAATAGTCGCTGTTAATGGGTTTTATTAAAAACTTTCGTTATTTTTTTTACTTGACTTGAATGTATGTTTATATGTCAAGATGGAATCTAGCAAGTTAAACTTGACCCACTTCCCGGTGTCTGATTGAGCTGAAATTTCACATACTGGTCCAGTCCCGATGACAATGCAGGTTTATGATAAGCATGCCTTGATTCTGCTGTCGGGATTGGCTTCTAACGAGAGAACTCTTCGAAAGTTAACGGTAGGGACATACAATTTTGCCCACCCATAGGGGTATGGATGATAGTTAGTGGGTCCACCATGTAATTGCTACCACCTTCCGGGTTGGCTCCAAACCAAATAACTCCTTAACGGTCGGCAGTGCTTGAAATCTTGCATAACCGTTCGGATATGATAGACGATTGGTGGGTCCACCATGAAATTGCTGCCATATCTAGGGTTGACTCCAAACCAGGGAACTTCTCAACGCTCAACAGTAGTAACAGACATAAGAGTCATACCATTATTGGTGTAATTTGGTGAGATGGGCGTCAATAGCATTGGTTTGCAACCTGTCTAATAGACAGAAAACTCCAAAATCAAACCCGGAATAGTGTTGCGTCAGGCACGAGTAAGCTTTAAGCTGAAACAAGTGGTGCATACATTACCAGATTACTACCTAAGTCAAGGTGAGGCCGTGCCGAAGACTGAGTGGCATTAGTGTATAAAATGATGCCTTAGAGCATCTGGGCGAACCCTGTTTACATTAGCTCGTAACCTTCCAAACCTGAAAGGTTTGACGGATATTTCTTCGGTACTCCAGAAAACATTATGGGAAATGAAGAAACAACAACACTAAGAAAAAGAAGGTTAGAGAAAAAGAAGTTAAGACGGGATTCACATGATTCAACCGAAGGCTGTGCAATTTGCAGCGAAACACAGCCATGGCACCGCGGAACGCAGAATGTTGCCAATAGCACTATGCTGGTTTGATTGAAGGTGTTTGACAATGTTTCGTGGTGTATTTCATCAGTTCGGACTTCCATTGTCTAATATAATATAAATTGATCTGAAGGCCCTGAAAAAAACAATTGAAAAATTTTACTTTGAAATATATAATTGTAAATAATAAGATTTAAGTTTACTTAAATAATAGGATTTAGCCTCGGTGCTGCAGGATGTAAATTTGAGTAACTTATAACGTCATTACGCAATTTATACGATATAGAAATTTGTCGCGAAATTTAAGCACTCGTATTACTTAGTTCGAACTTAGTTTTTTTAAATTAAAGTCAATCAGATCAAAATACTTAACTTACTAATTGATCCTACACAGGTAGATCTTCGAGATTTAAGCACTCGTATAACTTAGTTTGAATTTACGTATTTCATCAAGTATCGGCCGATTTCATCATATAGTTTGAACTTGTTTTTTTATTTGAAATCAATCAGATCAAGTTACTAGATTAGAGCACTCGTATTACTTAGTTTGAACATAGTTTTTTTCAATCAATATCAATCAGATCAAGTTACTTAACTTATTTGGAATCACATGTTGAATGGTAAGACCTCGTTAATCCTTAGCTCGCAGAAGTTTCGACTTCTGAGGGTTGTCATTCGTAGGGGTGCGACAACTGGTTAACGGAAAAACATATTTTTTTTAATTGATCCTACACAGGTAGATCTTCGAGATTTAAGCACTCGTATTACGTAGTTTAAACTATTTTTTTTTATTTGAAATCAAATAGATCAAGTTACTAGTTGATCTACACAGGTAGATCTAAAAGATTAGAGCACTCGTATTACTTCGTTTGAACATAGTTTTTTTTCAGTTAAAATCAATCAGATCAAATTACTTAAGTTACTAATTGATCTACACAGGTAAGTCTCGCGATAAGCCTTAATATTATATAAATTGTGTAATGGCGTTATGAGCACCGGGGCTAAATCATATTATTCAATTGAATTCAAAACTTACTATTTACAAATAAATTTTGTAAAGTAATTGGAAAATGAATAGTTTTAATGTAATTTAAATGTTATTTTTATAATTTTAGGGCGTGAATAAAAGTTTTTTTTAAGTTTTTTTATAATAATTTATTTATTTTTCAAGATAGTCGATGAATATTATATTATACCATGCGCATCCCAAAAAACTGATACCGTAACCTTGTCAGCCAGGGTTATCACAAGCGGTATATTTCTACTTTTTCGGTAGATTTTCAACACAAATTGAAAAATTGCAGTAGATGAATTTTCGCAGGTAGATTTCGGTAGTTTTGGATAAGACGCCTTGGCGATATAATTTTCATTTAAATGTGAGTAGCGACGTCTACAGCAAATGACTTGAATTCATTGTTTCTAGGTTTTGTCCGCTTCGATTTGCAATACAAAATGGATACAGATAATAAAACATCCATTACCCGATAGCTACTGTTTTCTGAATATCTCCGACCTCTGATTAAAGGAAGAAGAAGAAGATAATAAGACATAACCTCATTTCAGTTTTCGTTTTCAAACTTTCAAATAATTCAAAGTTTCATTTAAAATATGTAAACATGTCCGTTTTACCATAACTTATGGTAAACTTGTTACAATGAATAGTTCAAAATAACCTTAGACAAGATAAAATAACCAAAAACAAAAGCCAACTAGAAAGCAACTTGCTATTTCAAGTATTAGACCACGCCCATTTAGGGATGCTATTCAAATGTCTTTATAAGCGCCACCTAGTGATCGAAAACTCAAATTTTCACTAGGTTGCTAAGTTGGTGCTTTTCAAATATATTGCAGTAGATTTCAGTAGATTTTCAATGACAATGTAGGAAGATTTCTCAAATAAAGTGTAACCACGCTGTTGTCAGCCGACTGTTGCGTCTTTGCACGCTTTGGAGTCGGTTCACCACGTGCGACCCACTCAGATGATCGTTTTGATTCCGGTGTGAAATTATGGAGCAATTTTTCACCCGACGCATATCGACATATAAGTTCGGTTTTTTATGGTGGAACAGCTTCAATCATCGTTCAGAATAATCAGTTCGTAGTTGTATGTGGTCGATTGTGAGCTCGCGCGGCACCCTCTTTGAACAGAGCTTTCGCACAACAAACGATTCATCCACGATATGTCCAACACGTACCTTCGATATCCTTAGAGCCTCAGCTATCACGAGCAACTTCACTTTGCGGTCATCCAAAATTATTTTGTGGGCTTATTTGACTTGCCCATTTCACCTCGTTAAACACTTCTCAACGGTTGATTTCCCTGGTGCGAAGTACGAATAATGTTTATCAAGCTTGCTTCGGCTTCAAGAGTATTTTGTTGCCAAAAACAATGCCTCATTATCACACGAAATTCCTTTACATCATTTTCTTCAAAATATCCAAAGTTGCTTGACTCAAAATGTTCTATTTTACAAACTGGTAGTCCGACAACTAGAAAATTTATACACGTGTCTATTGAAGGAGAGGGTCAAGTAAAAATCATATGGATTCAATACTAATAGCGCCATGTGTGTGTTAGTCTACAAACCTTTCAGTCCACCTATCAGATTTTCACTCTTTGCTTTTTATTTTCAATCGATCCAATTATACTAGATTTTACCAAGAATTTGTCAACAACTTCTTCATAAAGAATACCGTTTCTCACTGAACATAATAAGTAACAATAACAAGAATTATACTTGATAATAATTTCACAATTTTCATACCATAAATCGAATGAAATGGATAGACATATAAAGATCAACACGTCTACATCATCAGTGGTCTACAAACTAACATGCAGCGAAACGTATTTTAAATAAAATCTTTGGTGTGGAAATTGTATAATCATTATCAAGGATTTTGGATAATCGCTTAGACATCTGAAAAACACCTGTGAAAATAGCGAAAACTGCAATTCAGAATATATTCTATATTTTTGTAGTACGACGAAGTTAAGAATGCATATATTTCCCATGCACCTCTCGCTGTGGATACATTTCTGACAATCGCAGGAATGCTGACTACCCTAAGTATGTTGAAGAAGAAAAATATTAATATTTTCATCTGCATTATGCACAGATACTTGAGGTGAGTGCAATTTGAAGTCATTTGCAATTATTTTGATAACATTGTAGGTAACGTTTCAAAAGATTTTTGCCCTCAAAATTTGACATCAAGATTTTTCGCCTTTTTAGACTGACTCCTGTTCTAGCCATCGCAGTTTTAATGCATTCTACGATTTTGAGATATTTTGGTAATGGTCCATGTTGGAATATTTTCGAAAGTATACTGATTCAGCCCTGTAGAAACAATTGGTGGATGACACTGCTTTATGTACAGAATTATTTGTCACCTATGAATTATGTAAGTATTTCTGCTTATAATCGTGCAGAAAATCAATTTCCAGCATGAGAGTTATGGCTGAGATACTTGAGTATATTAGGTCCGAGATTGTAGATAATTTAGTCGGTCGATTAAAATTCACACACTGCGAACACTCATCAGTGACCATCGATTCGTTTTGGGATTTGTCACTTCCCATACCACAAAGAAGTGACCAACAGAGTTTGTTACATTGCTTGTATTCCTTCCCAAGAGAGAAAACTGCAGATGGTCCAGTTGCAAGGTAAAAAAATGCCGAAACCAAAAGTTATATCCATCCATTAGTTTTTCCGTATTTCAGTAATCAATTTCAAAATATTTTTTCCATCGGAAAAATATAAAATCAAATTGAATGTTGCAATCGAATTTTCTCTAGATGGATAAGATATGAGCGATTATGCAGCTTCGAATCACTGTGGGTCTACTTAGAGCGGACATTACACAGCATATTGCCACTGTATAGAAGGTGTTTTCTTCTGTACGGTGATATTGCAGACACCCGTATACTGGCACGTGGCACAAATACAACAATTCACACGTGTCACCAATTTCACCAAAATAGTGGATAGGCGTTCGTCCTCTTTTATGGAGAGGGGGAAACGAGTTTGCACCTTTGAGATAGCTGACATAATGTTTCTTTCAGCTTTTTGAAATGTTATTATTGACCTGTTAATTATTGGATTACTTTAAGGTTGTTCTGTTGTCAATAATATTTCACTCTATTTCACTTTGTCACAAAAATGATATTTGTACAAGATACACTTCACTGTGAGATTTCAACTGAACTGCGTGATAGCTGAAATAATAAAAAGATTTGCATTTTGGCATACCATTTTATTAATGTGTGTCATTTAATTTCATATGATAATGTTAGAATATTATATTATTTCAATACTTTACATAATCGTATATTCGTATAGTTAACGTAATGATTTAGAAATATTGTGAAAGTTCACTGAGTTCAATATAATCCATACATTGTTGAAAAAACTGTTTCCGCAACCATTTCAGTTTTGTATCATTTGATTGTTTTCGCAACCATTTCAGTTTTGTATTATTTGATTGTTTCGAAAATTTTGGATCGGATTGTCACGAATGATGATCCTCTACGACAACATGAGATGTTCGAGACAGTGTGTGGATACCGATGAGCCACTCAGGCACTGTTCAAAAATATGCCTTTGCCACACATGTTTGTCTTGTTGAAAAAGTAATATTCGTTCAACGTGTTTTTTGATGTCCATGTGCTTTTACGAACATTCTAAAAATGTTCAATGGATATTCTGTTTACTGGGATGAGGGGCTTTAGCCTCAAACTGAGCGAGGAGCGGAAGTCAGTGGTCTGCTGTGTCCGTATACTGACTTGAATCTTTTTACTTTACAGTGTGTCCCCCAATCATGGTACTTAGCTGTCGACATGCACTGTTTCATTTTTGGTACTATAATTCTCATTCTGCTGAGAAATTCTATTAAAAAAATGGTTTTTGTCACAGCCTCCTTGATCTTGACAGGTATAGCAGTAACTTATTTCATTTGTTACACTTATGGTTTACCAGTTTCTAACTACACCAACGGGTAAGTAATTTCTGATGATGTTGAAATATGTCAAACTAATATAATGGATGATTGAGAAGAGTAGGTACCTCGTATTTTACACTGAATCACATACCGTAGAACTCAGTTTCAGATAAATTATCCCAATTGTTTTCTTATCATTTTCATGAAGTAGTTCTTCATTGAGTGGTTTCGGTGAGTGGTCCAGTATATGATGATTCAGGTCCAAAACGTTCAATCTCATTTTATTTCTATCTATCAATTCTTGTTGCAAAATTCAATATCACTCTGTGTATGTATTTATGTATTTTATATCCGTCATAACTTCGTAGGTGGGACAAATCAGATAATTACATTAAAACGTACTACGTACCAACGCATACAAGATTTCCACCATATATGATCGGCATGTTGTGTGGGCTGTTTATGAAATCGATCCAGTCTTCCGAAGTTGGCAAATACCATCTTACCCATGTATGTATAATGATTAATTATTCATTAGGAGAAAGAATTCAATTGTTTTTTGTCGCGTAGATTTCAAATCTATTTCCCTTTCTTTCAACAGCTCTAGTTTTTAAAATACAGTTTATGACCATATTTGTGTACTAGCTTCATTTACCTCCCACATAGCAATATATATTCCAGGAATATTTCATGAATATACATTTGAGGATATTGTATTATGCTATGAATATGCCATGGATATATACATATAACTTCTGGTGAATATTTCCTGGAAGTGCTCCTGGCGAACCATTGATACATTCTAAGAATATTCCTGGAGAATATTCTTGGAATAACTTGAAATATTCTAAGAATATGTAAGGTATATTCTATTAAGAATATTCCAGGAATAGAACCCAAGGAATTGGATTTCATGAATAGCTTCTTCAGTAGAGAATCGAAAAGAGAAGTTATCTTGCCTGATTTAATAATTATTGCTATAAAATTCAATATTTTCAATTATTAGAAACATTTTTTACGAATTGGGCAAAATAGTTGTTTATTTTATCGGGATTCGAGAGGTGATTGGGTAATGAATATTGTTTTTTTGAACGAACATTGAGGTTAGAAAGAGCATTCCAGGTTTTGCGTGGTATTTTTTCAGAACAGACAGACTTGAGATATGTCCTTTTTTCAGTTCTAACTATTGACATGGTATAATTTCTCAATTCTTTATACCTCATACGATCATTAACAGATTTAGTTTTTTAAATTTTTGAACATTTGAGGTAAATACATATTAACATGAAAAAATATCATTATAATTCCATAGTGAATGTTTGGAGTATGAAATGAACGAGAGAAAGTTATGAATTCAAATCCAGAAATATTTTTTTCAAAAAACTAAGTTATCCTGAAATATATCATTTTTGATCTACCTGATCTGCCTCAAAAATAGAATTTCCTTCACCAAAGTAAAATGATTTACATTTTTCAAAAAGTGTTTTGATAGTAGCTGAGCTTGCAGGTTTGCTGTGGAGGTCTGCAATACACATAAACAAACAAAACGCTGACATGTTACGGATACGACTAGTGAAAAGGGGGTATCGTTACATTTCAAACGTACTAGTCTAAGAGCCAGCTTAAATCTGACAACACATTTTTTACGGTATCTGAAATTTTGTCCAGTGAGACTCCTATACCCAGTACTAGCTAAACCCGGCCGCGGTAGGTTTGGGGTCCCTCAGGTGAGTCAGCTGTGAAAATTAAGTAAATTTTCAATATGTTTACGTAAGGTATTCTTAGTCAGGCTACTGTCTCCGAGAATGCTTTTTGAAATTCAGCGTTATTTTTCAGTAACAAGGTTTTTTTTGCCCCGATTTAAAAAAGCAGGATTGAAATCACAACCAGTGGAAGCGTGGAAACCAATTAAGCATCTAGCTAGAAGTGGACCAAGTTGTGTATATATTTTACTAACATCAATAAACTTTTCGTTGTTACCTGTCCGGTTAGCATCCAAATGTGAGAGGAAAGATTTTTCAAGTTAACCATTTTGCCCAGCATGATAATTAAAATATCAGTATCTGAACCTCTAAAAACAATATTAGACTGATCCATAATGCTTCAAGCATGGAAATAGTATATTATATACCTATTAGGGTGAGAAGTGAGCTATTATTTACTGAGAATTTTTATATCCTGAGGCGCGTAGCACCGGTTTATGTAAAAATTTGGCATGTGTCAAATTTTGATATGAATCTAGGAAATATCTCATTGCATTTTTGATATATTTCTATGTTCCATTTCTCTCATCGCTTCTGTATGTTCATAACTTAGAATTTCTCAATTCTGCATTATAGTGAGAAAAAAAATTCCTTGGTTGTATGATAACCCAAGGCAGCTATGAATTGTTGCATGTCAAATTGAAATGGTACAGTTTCCATGGTGAATACGCGATGTTGATGATAAGTGCGCAACATCTACCTAGGCCATGAAAACGTTTGCCGGCGTTTCCATGACAACCAAACACTGTACAATGATTATTATTGCTGTCAGTTTGTCCCTCTGAAGTTTTGAACCGTAGTTAGAAAACATCCTGTATATTTAGTAATTATTACCGTATGAAAAATAAATAAATAAAACTCGATTAGATCAAAAATGTTAGCCACTGATTGATTTCATGAGTTTGACAGAAATGATATGAAATTCAACAAGGTCAGCTTTTCACTAAGGCCTCTCGTCCACTAGGAGCGGAAAGCTGCAAACTGCAAAGCAACGCCGTTCGTACGAAATCGTATGATGCACATCGTCACAGATCGTCCATTGCCTCAGTATTCGTAGTAGGCGAGATGGTTCTTTGAACCGGTTTATTGATTATTCTGATGAAGAATTTTTCGCTTTGGAATTATTACCTTTAATTTATCGTCGTATCAGGAACAGGCAATATCGACGATGGCGTATAATCTGAGTGGATCCCATTTACGCAGAAAGAAAGAAGTTCTATAAATTTTCTCATTTGTGGCATGATCTTCAAATTGACGATGACCAACACTTTCCTCATTTCCGAATGGGAAATGAAACATTTCAATACATTATTGTAACTATTTTCGCACTAGGTTGCGTTCAAATCCCAGCAGAACGGCATCGGTTCGCAATTTGCACCTAGTTGGACGAAAACTGACGAACGATACGGGCCAAGTGGACGCGGTCCCCTACCGATCCATGTGTTTGGATCGTTCGTGCGTTGTGCTAATTCTGACGAATTGATTTCACAACTTATCGCAGATCATTCAAAATATTTCTATTTGTTTCGATTACGAACAACAGAATGTAGCCACATGGTACTGTTGAAACAGCATAAATCAATAATAATAATAATAAAATTGTCACATGAGCATTGATCAGAATCTGTTGGATGACATTATCGCTGAAAGGCTCATAACTGGTGACAAATCATGACATCGAAACCAAAGTTCAATCGTCCTAATGGAAGAGGCCACGAGAGCCAAGACCAAAAAGCACTGCAAGTTTGATCACCGTGGCGTAGTACATCAGCAGTTCTTGCCACATGGTCTTAATCTTGAAGTTATGTGCCGCTTGCGAGAAGGGATACGAAGAAAACGTCCGGCATTGTATGAAAACAATCCATGGCTTTTGCATCACGATAATGCACCTGCTCACTCGTTGGCCAACAACAACATCATGATTATTCATTAGCCACCATATTCACCAGATTTGTCGTCCTGCGACTGTTCTCATGGAAAGACGGCGTTTTGCGAGGCTGAGAAAGAAGAAACCGAGAGAGCTTAAGGAGATACCAAAAAGTGCAAATCAGAACTGCTTCGAAAATTGAAAAAAATGCTGTTGTATTTTTCAAAAAAAAATAAATTCATCTAATTTTTTGAACATACCTAGTATCTAATCGTATCTAATAAGGTACTCTTTCACCTATTACTTCCTGACACGCATCAATGCCCTCGATAGGAATATTTGGGATATGTTCTCATAAAATTCCCTGCTAATTTCAACAGAGTGTTTTATGTAAAGTTGAACAATGATCGTTTGAAAAGGAGCCTCCGTCAAGGCTCTATGCCGTTCTTTAAAGTTTGTTGAGCGACATACATTTTAGCTGGTATCCGTACTTTTGAAGCGGTTTTCAATGGCTCGCTTAGTCTGACCGATATAATTTTGTCCCAGTTCTCACAGCTCATTTCATATAACCCCGTGCCAGGAATCGCACATTAAAAGGTTTGACACCTCACCAATCCTCAGCTCGCACAAGTTTTAACTTTTGTGGGTTGCCGTTCGTAGGAGAATGACAGCTGGTTACCGGAAAATAGTTAGTTGTCAAACAGATGTTTTGAACGGATATGCAAACCCAATATTCGAGGATCTGTTGTTAAGAGTTGAAATAGAGCCCTCAACCCTTGATTTTATTGTATCAAAGTTCGCAAATATATCGTCGAAACCAAGTCCGTGAAAAATGATCTAACTCATATTTTGCTTCCAGTCCATATCTGTTCTTGAACAGATTAGATGAAGAGGAACAGTGGATTTCCAATTGCCTTGCCTTCATGCTGTCAGTAGAAACGGTCGTTGAACTGCAAGCAAGGGAGGAGTTAGATTCCTTTCCACGGACTTGTATATGTAGAGAATGTATTTTTGACAGAAAAAAAATCAAAGGTAGAGGACATTATTTCAACACTTAAAAACAGATCCTGCTATCAGAGCTGATATCTTTGATAGCTTACACTATTATCCACAACAAAAAACGGCAGGTCTAAACATTTTTGTCCATAGATTTTCCATTATCCCCTTGAGTAAAGAGAGGTACGATATTGAGAAAAATGTAATCAGGGATGTAGCTGAAAGCAACATTCATTTTTCTAATATAGTAGATAAGGAAGCGCAGATGATTACGAAACGTAAATAAAGGAAGAATCTCCGTAGTTGAAATTTTTTGAGATTATATCCAACATTCCTATATAAATGATAGGTAACTCTGAGATACTTTGCGCTTGAATTATTTTTCGTACATTTACATTTGCTTGACTTTTTCAGGAGTTATCGACAAGTTCTTGTCCCTTCCGAGCTTCCAAGTATTGTCGAAACTGACATATTGCATGTACATATTTCATTTCATGATAATACTGGTGAAGGTGGCATCATTGAAGACTGTGGTGCATTTTTCGATATATGATCAGGTAAGTAACTCAATACATACCTATCAATTCCTACGGTTTTTGTCTGACCTATATATTTTTGAAAAACTGTAATTCCGCGTCAAAACATTATTACATTGACTTCACGCCTACCACTTTTCCGACTTTATACGGTCCGACACGAGGAAAAGCTGTGGATTGTGGCCCACCTGAGCAAGCTAGTGTTGTCCAAGCGGCTGAAATGTGCAGGAGAGGTTTCAAATGACTCAGATATTTGACGTTTGACCATGAGACTCGTATTGTTTGTCTCACAGAAAATACGAGTTTTAGTTATTTTCTTACCACACTACCTGTTTTGTTGTCCAACCGGCTATAATGTACAGGGAAGATGTCATGCGACTAAGCAGCCGGTTTATGATGAACCATTAATGATTTTTTTTCTCAGAGGTCTCTTCCTAACGGTTTCTCATGTGTTTCTGGGTATATCATCCTATAAATTTTTGTTTCTAATAGATCCATTTCCTCGTTTGATTTCGGAACAATGATATTGGAAGCTCCACAGCTGTTTATTGCGCACATGGAGGGTATATCAACGATACAACAAGATTATTCATATAATTTTGTAACGAGAAGGCATGAAGTTTTGATTGAACCCAATTGGAGAGTCTAGAACAGAGGTTCTCAAATGTATTTTGTATACCGCTCTCTTCGAGAATTAATTAATTTCTAGCACCTCCCAATTTTTTTACTTTACTACATCTTAAGAATCACAATCGCAGTCATTATTTCAATAATTAAATTATGTGTGTCATGTGAAAATAAGACTTTCTTATGAGAGTAATGAAAAACCATTTTGTAATATTAGGAAAACTTTTATTCATGTTATTAAAACAAATATTTAAATTTTAATTATAAAACTGATCTAATGTGAAGGATGAATTTTATGATTTTTAACAAGTTTTCAGGCTCGAATTTACTCAAAAACAGCCGTAAGTCACCGCGTTCGGTAAAATCTGCAACCGATTTATCTTTTTAGTGAGCAACGTTGCCACAGTACTAAATCCACGTTCACACAAATACGATGATGGGAATGTTATCAAAAATCGTTGAACCTTTCTATTGTATACAATGGTTGAACGATAAATCACAATCCAGGGTACAGTTGCGGAATTGGCTTTTGTAGCCAAAATTCTTGGTATCCATTTTTGAATTTTATTTTTATTTCCTCGTTCGTTATCGGTTCTATAAGTTCTTCTTGCAGATCGCGTGATCCTGCTGTGTTGACATTTGGAAAAGGATCCAACACCCAGTCCGGTATTTTTAATTTTAAAATGTCCTGGAATCGTTCTGCAAAATCACTGTGGAGGTTCTCCAAATGTTGGCAGTGAACCAGCAAGTCGTCGTTGTTGAAGGATACTGCTGACAAGTTAGGGAAATTGCGATATTATTCTTGTATAAGAGCAATTTGGCTACAAAAGCAGCAATGCCATTTTTTATTTTAATCAAATTCCAGTCGCCACCTTGAAGTTGAAGATTGACATCTTTGAATAATTTATACAGGTCTGTCAAGTACGCAATATCATTCTTTGAAGTGAAGAGTTTGTCGTGCTATTCTTTGTCTATTCGAGTCGAGTTGATAACCAACGCACTTCTGTGTGAAATAGCAATCGGTTGAAGTCTTCATCATTAGCAACACAAATCTGATTAAATAATCTGCCATTTAAAGAGCTGTTTCGGATTTTATTGATTTGATGATATATTGCAGTGATTGAGTGAGCGCCTCTCTCAATCACTGCAATCATTAGCAACACAAATCTGATCAAATAACTTGTCATTTGAAGAGCTGTTTCGGATTTTATTGATTTGATGATATATTGCAGTGATTGAGAGAGGCGCTCACTTAAATTTTTCGCTACCAAATGTTGCCTTTGAATGACGCAATATACAGCGAGTACATCTGGAATTTTATTTTTCAACTACGTATTTTCTCATTTTTAATAAACCTCACGTATGACAACAACAATGCACAAGTGCACTCATCTAACTGAATTGAGAATTTAGAAGTCTTCAGATGATTGAACAAAGACTCTTCAATGCTTTCAGCCATCTCATCAATTCGTCTTTGCACGGAACTATTGCTCAAAGGAATTTTCGGATAATATTTGCCGCTGATTTATGGAGCACAGTAGTTATTACACAGTTATTATTACACACTTTTGTCTTTTTTATCTGATTGAGGGTTTCATCGCTTCATTCGAAAATGTTTTTTGACAAAGAAGGCACATAGGCGAAGATGGATTTGTGGGATTTTTAATAAATCCATATTTTACATATTCCACGTTATACTGCCGTTCCTTCTATTTTGCTTCCGACATAATTTTGTCTTCAAAAATACCGAAGTAAAGAATCGAGTATTGAAAACTTGCTAATGACACCACTCACAGTATTCACCACCTCACATACAGCACTTTACCTAGCTAGTTGCTAACTAAATTCACTTGTTTTCGTAATATCGTTGAATGACGTTACTGGCTGAATGGCGCGCGCGCTTTTATATGAGGCAGCGGGCGGGCCTAGCACTTTCGAGAATGGAGACTAGAAACTTCTCGCTTCGCATTGAAGCTTACTGCCATCGATTGTACAGTTTGACAACTATCGGACAGGAAATAGTTACGGTCTAGTCCCCTAGATGGCGTCACACGAGGAAACGAGCGTTAAGCGTAAAGGAGCGGTAAAGTTTGTGTTAAAAGCAACAAAACATTTTTAAATTGGCCATCGCCCCCCTAAACCGCTTCAACGTCCCCCAATCTTCTCTGTGCCCTTTACTGCCCCCCTATGGGCCTCCAGGGTGGCGTTATCGCCCACTTTGAGAAAGACTAGTCCAGAAATACAAACACGCGCTTTGTTCCTTATGAATAATGGCTATTCTCCACCTATTTCATACTTGTAATTGCGCAAAAGGTGAACGTGCCATTAGGAATGAGACCTTCACCGCCGTTCATAGCTCTCATTGCACATTTTTCGATTTCTAAGGCATTCCGAAACTTGTCATGTAACGGCCTCGATAATTTCAACCACTCTGACATATTTTGTAACCATTCTTCAAAGCACTTTGAGCGATTCTAGACTTTTCGGGTCTAAGAAACCGAATATGTGAAAATGTTTTTAGAAGAGAGCTATTGGCGTCCGTTGAATTTGACTAGCATAGTTATTATGACCATTATCACAGCTTAGTTCATGAATTTCAGACTTTTCCTTCGCTATTTTTCAATATATCACAAAGAAGGCATTGACAATTATATATTTTTATTTGAAATCACTACCCTATATATGATTTTTGACTAGGATTTTTTACAGCTAATCGAGACTTGGGGATTAACAGTGGTGACAATAGGCATATCGTTCTTAGCAAGCTTGACATTCGAATTACCCATATTCACCCTGGAGAATTACGTCATCAGTAGATGTATCAAAGATGAAATCCTACCCTCGTTCAACAGGAAATGTGAAGAAACACGGAAGTTAGGATTTTTTTTGAAACCGAAGAAGACGAAATAAATTAGATGTGAATTAACACCAAGATTAAACAAGGTGATAATCGAAATTTGGTCTCTTCATTTCATGCACATTCTTCAGATAGATTGATTGATTTTTTTTATATTATCTCATACCTCTAGTACATCCCAGCTACGAAAGTATTTGATAAACTTAGCGGAGGAATTGTTTTATTGAAAAAGATTTTATGTATATCAAAACTCTCAAGAGTCCCGCGAAAAGTGTATCTAAAAAATAGGATTGTGTAAATATATACCTACCGAATGGTATGAATGATATCTACGAATGCTCAATTGGATATTTTGATATTGTATCCATTTGTAATTATTGCAGACCATTATTTTCAGGACCCTGGATTCAACGGGAGATGAATGAAGAGAAATTATAGGTTGAATCTTCTCAATAGGAAGAAAGCAGATATGCAAGAATTATTTGAAAAATAGACGAATTATTAATCGTATCATAAAGAGTCGACGAAAATAAAATTGGTTAAACAAATGTAGAGTCAAATTCCCAATATTTCTGATTCTTCCTTTCATAAAACTATTCCTAACATTTTATACAAATCGTTCATTAATAAGTCATTTCCAGATCATCTACTTGAAAATATCTTATTTAATACCGTACCTATGTGTCAATAATAATTCTAATGTCATTCTTCTTTTAAATATTACTACCAATGAGACTATTCTAGTACTGAACCGACTACAGAATTCTCAAAAACACCTTTACCGATATAAGCCCGTCTTCCCGGGCTGAACTTCCCTAGAGGGCAGTTCAGAAATTCAATCGAGCGGCTAAACAAGAAATTCAAATAGTAGAAATAAATTAATCGTTAGTTGCTAAGTGTTGTAATAAATAAATCAGTTAGTGGCTATTGAAATATTGTTGTAAATAAATTTGTTTAAGACAATTAATTCATTATTTGTCAGAATTGGTGTCAGAAGTGGATTTGTAAAATAAATCTGTGAGCGATTAGTGGACAATCTTTGTATTGCAGGGAAATTGACGAAAAATAGACTTGTGGATGTAAATAAGTATTTTCGGACATATACAGTTTTGTGGAAAATAGACAATAAGAGACAAAATGTGTTCGAGGAAAGTGCGCCTAGTAGACTTGAAAGTCACCAAATTGTAGCTATAATTGGAGGAGAGGGAGCTAGATTGTTCTGGAAAGAAGTCAGTACTCCAGAAGAGATTGTGGAAGAACTTGACTGAGTCAGGAGAAGATCCTGAAACATATTTATTCGAAGTTTCTGGGGGTGATTTGAGTTTGAGTTCAATAATGAACAATCATCTGCTCGTACACAGCAAGCTCCCGTAAAAAACGCTTATGTTGCCATTCTCCAACGACATGACAAAGGTGTTTTCGTAGAAGGCCTCATCAACAACGAGCCTTGCACCATGCTGATACAGATGCGACGAGAACCATTCTTGGGCCAGTCTTTGCCAAAACACCAGTAAGAATTGAACCGTCAAGTTGGAAGCTACGCACCGCAACAGGGGAACCAGCCACTCACTTGGAGAACTACCAATTGAATTGATGTTGGGCAGCACTACATTGAACCATCGAGCATTGGTGGCGAACATCGAGGACGATGTGATCATTCAAATGGACATAATGAATTCCAGAGGGTTCGAGCTGAATTTTCAAGACGGCGTCCTACGTGTCGGCGGAGAAGAGCTGGTGCTTCATGGAAGAAGCGAAGAGATGATCAGGGTCCTGTTGGCTGAAGACGTGTGCGTACCTGAGAGGGCTGAAATCACCCTGGAGGCTCGCCTAGACGGAAAAGCGAACAGTGGAGAGGTAGTAATGTTCGAGCCAAGATACACGATGAGAAAATTAGACGAGGAATCGCAGTGGGGAAGACCCTTTTGCGTATTGGGTCATGAATGTCAACTACTTTTCTGTGACCTTGAAGAATAGAACAATGCTGGGGCACTGTTTGTCCATTTCCTCCGTGATAAGGAGTGTACGCGGTCCGGTTAGCCAAGCCAACAACTTGCCTAAAGAGTTGGAGAAGTTGATTGACATTTCCTCCAAGGACATGCCACCAAATCACAGATCCAAATTGAGGGAGTTAGTCAAGAAGTGTCAGAAAATCTTTGATATTGGAGAGGGCAGAACGAATGTAGAATGTGTGGAGAAGACTCCCTCTTGCCAAGAAAGAAGAGGCAGACAAGATAGCGATACGGGAAAAGAAGGAGTCATTGAACCTTCTGACAGCCCCTGGTCTTATCCAGTCGTATTAGTGAAGAAGAAGGACGGCTCGACAAGGTTCTGCGTGGATTATCGCCAACTAAATAATGTGACAGAGAAAGAGCAATCAAAACATTTCAATACAGCTTCACTTGGACCATTCTTTCCTAGAAGTATCCACCATCGCATTGTGGAAATGATTTTCTGGAATAGTACTCACATACGAGAAACATGATTGGTTATTTCCTTCATTTCGATATCAGACTGATTCATCAATAAGAGATTGGTATAACAAACCTACAAATTTCATTTCATTAAAAATCAATAAAAATATATTATATGATCTGTCTTTTGGAAAAAAACAGCTTTTCGGCTCTCTATTTTTACATAATTGAACAAAAAGGTGGAATACGGATGACTTGTTCCGAAGTACACCTCGAAGGATGACACTATTTCAATACTCGTTTATATATTACGTTGGGTAACATTCCTATGGATAATATCTGAGTCATTTTGACAAGATCTACGATTAGGCTAATTATACGCATCGTTTTGTAAATTATAGAATTGTTCTCATTATTTACCTAGGTGTTTTTTTATAATGATTATTTATTTACCAAGGGTGAGAAATATTAATTCTCGTTAGGAGAATGAAGTTAATAATAGCAATTTCTCAGGTTAGCAGTGAAAAACATTGTTTTTTCACTACCAACCTGAAAAAAATCGTTTTTCCACTACTAACCTGACCTAACCTCACCGAAGAAGACTGGCAGAAAAGGATTAAAAAAGTAATTTTAGTTGAAAAAACCTATATGGAGATTGGACACTTCCATTTCAATGGTGGAATTATCAGAAGCTTGTGACTGAAGCGATCGATTGTATATATATGTGAGTAAGTAGTATTCAGAAGTATTTTCAATTACGATAGTGATAGTGAAACAGAGAATATGGAAGATAAATTATGAGGAGCTTTCGAAGAAAGTTAATGAAGTGTTTTTAAAGCGATCGATTGTTTA